TCTGCTCAAGCAGATTTCCCACTCCATCCAAAGAAACCGGCCAACAGCTGGCCAACAGCCCGAAGGGCGAAGCAGCTCGTGCGCTGGGGAATAACGGAGCTGGAGAGGAAGCAGAGCTGAAGCGGCCTGAACGTTTTCCCTTGCCTTGGCGGAAAGCTTCGGGAGAACCGACTCAGCAGAAACCTCCTGGAGGTAGTAGGCGAGTGTACTCTGGTTTTGCAGGCGCATAGTCCACTGAATGTCTGCAACGGGCTTCTTGCGGCGATACGCAGCGACTGCACCGCCTCCACGAAGGCAGCCTGGCGTGAGCTTGAAGCGGCTCGGGATCTCGAGGGCAGCTAAGAGCTTGTCCCACCGTCTTCTGTAAACGCCAGGGCTACCAGGGAAGAGAGGCTCGCTCGATCTCAAAGAGCCCCAGACCTTCTCAACGAAGAAAGCGTGTCCAGGCTCGAGGTCGAAAGCAACATGCTGCACCCTGGCACCTCGACCTCTCGACTTGGGCTCGCGGAGGAGGAGGTAGTAGCGATTTTCTCGCTGGAGGAGATCCTTGGGCGTGAGAAGATCAGCTCTTCTCGCCCCAAGAGCCCAAGAACCTCCCCGATCCGACAGCAGCCTAGGAAGCAGAAAAGCGTGGCGCAGGACCAGAAATGCCATCCCCAAGAGACGGCCAGGCCTACCATAGCCCAAGCAATAGGCTCCGGCATTGGCGTCCGATGTTCTGAAGGCTCCAGCTTTTCCCACTTAGTGAGTAGAGTCCACGCCGGCTTCAAGATGGTCTTGACTCTCGGTACGACGTGCTGGCAGTGCGCAAGAAGCTGGCGAAACTCCTGCAGAGACCGGCCTCTGTCGTAGAGGCGCTGGCCATAGCTCAAGAGGACCTCGACAAGCAGGTCTGGCTGCTGCTCCAATGTCCTCCAGACTTCGTCGCCGCACTCCTCCGCAACCCACGCCTGAAATTCGCTCCAGATGCCGGCCCGCAAGGTGGCTGTTCCCTTGGTCACTGTTGCGACCTCCTTGAGCTGCACTGGAGGCCGTCTCTTAACAGGTCCGCGCGGACCAGGGTTGTCAGCCTCCCCGATCCGCGCCCCAGAGCACTTGGCGCAGCGAGCGAGATCAAGGGGCCTGAAATCTCCCATCCATCCAGCGTCCTGGGCGCACGCAGCAGCAAGTAAAGCAGCAAGGCGCCGAGGATATGGCTCGGCAAGTTTGGTCCAGGATACTCCAGACTTCTTGTCCTGCCCCGCAAGACGAGGTGGGAGTGGCCTCCTGGACACCGCATCCTCGCCCCTCCTAATTGACCATTCGTCCGGAACCGGGTAGCTTTGCGCCACTTCGTTCCGAAGACGCAGAAGTCGCATAAGAAATCATCCCATCGGACCTCGGCTTTGATCTCCTCCAAAGCGGGTTGCTTCCAGAACCAGCTTCCCTGTGGGTTCTCGATCCAGAAGGTAAGGCTGCCTGCCGCTGCACATTGCACGAGCTCGAAGCTAAACTCCAGCATCTTGTTTCCAGCGAGGACCTTGTCTCTCTGATCCTGACGCAAGTCCGGCTTTCCCTGAGGGAAACTCCGAGTCCTCCAGGCCGGAGTGATCGCAGATGAGAAAGAACTGCAAACAGGCCCAGCACTCACCCCAGCGAAAGCCTTAGCGGAGACGAGCTTCAGAAGCAGGTTCTGCAAGTTCTCAGAGAGCAGGTCCTCGTCTTCTCCATGGCTGATGTCCAGGCAAAGAACCCAACATGGCGCGGATGCAGCGAGGGACTTAGCAAAACCCCGAGACCCTGAAAAAAGATCAAGCCACCCCGGAGCCGAGTCGAGAGCAGAGTCGAAATCAGGAAAAGTCGAAGAGATGACGAAGCGCCCAGGAGGCATGCTGAGGAGAAGTCCACGAACCTCAGCCCGGCTAAATCCAGCTAGCCCAGGAAATCCACGCGGGGGAGGAAAAGTGTAGCGTTGGCAGGCTGCGTCGGACCCTGAGCAGAAGCTTGCAGGCTCAACTCGATAGGCACGTCCACGGCCTGGACGGGCGCAACAAGGAGCTCCCCGGCCCTCACCGGACTTATCTTGATCTCCAGGGGGCGGACAGGCTCAAGAACGACAGGAAACGAATCAAAGGCTGCGCCAGCAGGGGCGGGAGCAGGCTCGGGAGGCGGCAAGACGAAGCCCAAGTTCGAAGCCGCGGCCCTCTGTTCCTCACTGAGCCTTTCACATCCTCTAACTGTATAACCAATGAGCACTATCCTCGTACCCTTCCAGGCTTGGGTAGCATGAACGCGGTGAGGGTCGAAAGCAACCGCACGCTGACTCACGGGGAGGACCTCGCCTTCGAGAGTGGCGCCGCGATGGTTGAGAGGCGTCCGCCCTCCCTTGGCGGCAACCCAGATTCCCCCTCCCTGGAAACGGGAGAGCGGCAACACAACGTTCGGCTCTCCTGACAAGTTGTTCAGGTCGACGTGAGGGAGGGTCTTGACATTCTGATTGACACTCAAGGAGCTGAAGACGAAGCCGGGCTTAGCTTCTCGAAGCACTCGAGTCAGCAGCTGGACCGATCTCGGGAAGGCTTCGCAGCTTCTCCTAAGACCGGAAATCCCACCGTGAACGAAAACCCCGGCACTGAAAGAGCACTCGGAGGCGCTCCACCTCGAGGACCTCGCCGAGACCTCCTTGGGCAGACGCCGGAAGATCTCGAGGGCCTCGGCGGTCCCAACAACACTCCTCTGCAGCAGAAGAAGGGCCTTATGCTCAGGCGACATGGAAGCTTTGACCCTCCGGGTGGAGGCTCTAGGCTCCTCGGCCATCGGCCCATCAGGCAGAAGCTCTCGCTCATCAGGGAGCCCAGCGAGCTGTCGAAGGTCCAAGCCCAGACCATGCAGAAAGGCGTCAACCTTCCCTTTCAGGCCGAAACAAGCCAGGGGGCGCAGACCTTCGAAGGACCTCGGAGGGCAGCTCCCCTGGTGGGTATGTGCCCGAAAGAGGGCCTGACTCGGCTTGCAATGTAGGAGGCTAAAGACCTCCGGAGCTCACGGTTGAGGGAAGGGGAAGAGGACCTGCCTTTTATGAAAGTGGCCAAGGCGACCTGTGAGTCTTGCAAATGCACGTAGCGGCACCCCGGGTGAGTTCGTCCAGAGCTCCTCCCAAAGGGGGTGCGAGCTGTAACACTCCTCCGGCATTCCATCTCCCTCTTCGAGCTCTCCCCGCTCCCGGAGATAGGCTTGGGTCGGCGAAAGCAGTTTAGACCAAAGTCCTCTCTGCAACCCATGTCTGGTGAGCTCCAGCGACAAGGCCTCTGGAAGGCCTGCCACAACGCTAGCTTCGGCAGAGGTCGAGGCATCCGAGGCAAGGAGGGAAGGAGCGGCAGGGGCTCGCAGGTCAACATAGACCTGGCACAAAAGTGCGTCGCTGGCAAGGAGCTCGTTACACAGGTCTCCTCGCACCTGGCACGAAAGCTCGGCGATCCCGATGGCGCTGGACCCGATAGATCGCGTCCAGGAGGCTGAGCAGCCTCTGTCGCAGCTGTAGCCCCGAAATCAGGCCCCGGCAATCACTTCCAGCATCCCCACACAAGAAATTCCACCTCGCACCACTTTCAGGATAAACTGAGCGAGAGCCCCGACCCGCTTCGGGCTCGGTCGGAGAATTCCCGTCTTCCCATCCAGAGCCCCGCCCCAGAACTCAGCGTAGGGAGCCCTGCTGACAGACTTACCTTCATTCCTGGGCAGGCCAGAGGACCGGTAGCCTTCAATGACGGCGCGCATAGTCTGGGTCCCAGGGGGGTCAGGCGCTTTGACACTGAGGCTCCGTGGCACGGGATCAAGCAACAAGAAATCATCGATAAGCAAACCTGCGATTTGCTTCCCGGGCCTCGGCGGTCTTCCACGGAGTGTCACGAAGTCAGCTAGCACCAATGCTTTCGTCCGCAGCAGCACTGCCAAGTGGGATGCTTGCCCGTAGGCAACGGCATTCAGGTCCCCCATCGCCATGGTGTTTAAACCGGGGATGATCGTGTGGCCTCGGAGGGAGCGCGAGCAGGCTGCAAGGTGGGCGACGTCGTCGTACTCCAACTCAAGAGCGAACACGTTCCTCCTGGCCCTCTGCTCCGTCACCACGAAAGCATGATAAAACTCCTTGAGATCCTCCGTGTAGATCTCGAAGTCTCGGTCGGGGGGAAGGAAAATGAACTGGAACTGCTCCAAGGTCCCGAGGGACCGTATCCATCTGGACTCGGTCTCCTCCGCAAGGTTAGGTGGCCTGGCATCAAGGACCATCCTGTCCCGGGCATGGTCTTTCGCGACAGAGAAGAGACCGCTGCGCAGCCTGGGCCTGACCTCCTCTTTCCGGAAGAGACGAAGTCTGCCGGACCGGTCCAGGAGCTCGAGGAGCTCCCGAGTTTGCCTCTTGTCGGCCCGAACTGAAACCCTTGGCACAGGCTCATCCTCCCCAAGCTCCCGAGCATAGTCTAGGGGCCTGGAGTAGGTAGCTCGGTTTCGGCTATCAAGGTAAGGCCTAGGGTCGAAAGAAGGCTTCCCGACAAAGTTCAGCCGACTGGGCTCGACAGGAAGAACGCTGCAAGGGGCGGAATATGAAAAGAGGCTTTCAGATGCAGGAGAGCCTGCTCGGAGGAGGGCTCGCCACTCCTCCTGACAAGCATCCAACATATCGTGAAGACCTTCGAACTTGCCAGCAGCGCGGCCCAGATCCTGAGGGGTGAAGGGGCCAGAGGAGTTCCAGGCCCTGACTCCCTGACGCAAGGATAGGACAGCGGCCCACTGCTTGGCTGACAGTGGCTCACCCAAAGCTAACTTGAGGTCCTGACGTGCGGCCACAGGGGTAGGGCAGGGGCATCGGCCATACTCGACCAGCCCGCTTTGCACCAGAAGAACTGCATGGCCCTCGCTCCTTGCGAGGTAAAAGCCGGATGGAATGGAAAAACGAAGAAAGGGAGCACTTGGCTCTGCTGACAGAAAGAAAAAACTCGGACCACACTTCGCTCGGCCTGACCAGCGGTGCTCGCGCACCCGGTCCTTGGGCAGCGGCAGGAGTGGGACCGGTGGAAGGCTCTGCAGCTTGCGGCGGCATCCGAGGAAGCTAGGCCAGGGGGGTCAGGCTTCGCGGATACGCTAGGTTGCCTTAATTCGGGCTCGGGCCTAGAACCTGAACTTTCGACGCAGCCTCTAAAGCTTGGCGCGACGGAATCCTGGTCTGGGCAGGAAAACACCTGAGGGTCGAGCGGAGGAGCTTGGCCCTCAGACACAGCTCACTTTCCCGGTAGCTCGCCTCCGCCTGGCGGGCGACGTACTGTCTTGGCGATTGGCACCGGTCGGAAGACTAGGCTCCTTCGAGGGAGAGCGGCCTAAACCACAACTAGCAACCTCGGGGACGGGAGGCTCGGCACCTCTGTGAAAAGGAGCTGACATAGCACTGCTGGAGACCTTAGGGGGAGAGGGGCCTAAACCCGAACTAGCAACCTCTAAGGGATTGCAGAGGGAGCTGGCGAGACAACTCTAGGGATTGAGGAGGAAGGGGGGCCTAAACCACAACTAGCATCCTCCTGGGTGAAAGGCTCGACCTCCGCAGCCGAGGGAGCTGAAGCACGCGGTCGTTTGGCTTTGAGGGCTGACGGGCCCGACCTGGAGCTCGTGACGTTGCACCGGAAGAACTCCATACAAATACTCCTGAGGGAGGGCGACCATTGCACAGCAGGCTCCCGGAAACTGTTAACGAGACCACCTCCACACACAGGGCGGGCTCGCAGGCTCGGCAGCCACGACTCGGTGGCGAAGGGAAGTGAAGAAAGAGTGAGGGCCTCCTTGGCAGAAAAACAACTTGAAAAGGCGCCCGCACAGGGCAGCCAGGCTTGCAGCGGAAGAAGCGAATCTCCAGTCACTTCGCCCCTTCTTTGGTCCTTGTCTTTGCCACCTCGGCCTCCGCCTTTCGGGGGCTTTCGTGGAGGCTTTTCGGGGTCTGGGCGACCACCACCGCCGTCCCCAGTCTGCAGACCACCGCCGCTCGGGTTTTTTCCGGAAAGGTCTTTCTTGGCGGAGTGGAATGCGTCTCTCTCCCTGATCCGGGCCATGTACAGAGAGACCCATCGTGGGTCCACGATCTTCGTCTGCTTTGCCTCCAGAGGATCTAGGGTGCGAGGCCTCTGGAAGCTCCCAAAGGGGGGAGAAACGTCCATGCTGAACTCGGACGCGAGGAGCCAATTCCCGCCGTCGATCGCGGACTGGTCGAGAGCAGCTATAGCTAAAAGAGCTGTCGCCTTCGCCTGGTCGACTGACCCCGCATTGATCAAGTCGACGACGGTGGCCAAAGTCCACCCTTGCCGGATCGGCCCCGCGTAGGACTGGAGGTGGGAGCGGTGTTCCAACCAACCCCTGGCTGCAAGCTTCCTCTCGTCCTGATGAGGTCCGGTCTGGGCCCCGACAAAGTCCTCGAGCATCAAGCTCTCGATCGAGCTGGAGATCTGCTCGGGGGAGGAGCGTAGGGCGCCACGAAGCTTGAGGTAAGCGGCCGTCTTTGACCTCGTCTCCGAAGATGAGGCTGTCAGCCCATCTCCGCCTGGCCCTTCCGGCCCGTCGAGGAGATCTTCGAGGTCGTTCTTCCTCTCCCGCTCCCGATGGATGGCCTTCAAGACCTGGCTTATCTGGACCACCGCCTGCTTGACTGGGTCCTCGCTTCCCAACCACCTCCTCGTCCTCGGACTCGTCGAGAGGATCGTCGCGAGGGAGGGGAAGACGGGCCTTGCTTTTCGCCTTTGCGTCCCCCAGACCGGGCCCTTTGCTGGCAAGCTGAGACATCCGCACAAGCTGCTCCTCTGGGACGCCGGCCTTGCGTGCTTCCACCACAGAAGGATCGAGCCCGGCTAGGAGGGGGCGCTTCAGAGCCGAAGGGCGAGCGGCAGGTAAATCGCCAACGTTGAAGCCACCCTCCTGTAGACGAGTCATGCCAGCTTCCAACCGGGTAGTCGGGCCTCCCACGTCTCCTCCTCCGCGCCCAAGCCATCTCGGCCGGCCTCCTCGGCCGGTGTCAGGAAGGCGAAGTGCTCCGACGCGATCGCGGACAGGGAAGGTCCATACGGGTCCAAACGCTCCTGAGCCAAAGCCCAAAAAGGGCACATCGGGCTCCAGGGCACCACCCACGCCGAAGCCGACGCAGTCTTCCAAGGACTGCTGGAGCATTCCTAGCCAAACCTTGACCTTGACCCCCGGACGAATGACGGCAGGATCTTCGGCCGAGCACGGTCCGGCTCAGGGCCGTTCTCAGCAAGTAGCGTCTGCCTGCTGTTCGATGCCAAGCAGTCTGAACCAAAAAAGCTCCATCGATCTCGGCAATGATGATGATGGAGCATGACGCCTCTGAGCCCTCAGCTGAAACGATCCTGAGTTCCCCGATCTGGGGATGGGGCCCCTCAAGGGCGTGCTCTCGCAACCTGTTAACAGCTGGCGTGGCCTCCCGCACCAGCTCCTCAGACCCACCGTGGCTGGACATCAAGTCCCTCCGAAGGCCACGACAAATCAGCGGCTCGGAGAGCTTCGGCAACCTCCGTCTGCGAGGGGAGGCCTACAAAGATAGATCGGCCTTTGCCAGGACCTCGGCAGCACAAATTCTTGCAGGGCCCAAAGGAGCTGAAGATGCAGGGCTCGGCGCAACGGCGCCCTTGAAAGTCGCAGAGAACCACGTAGTATCTGGAGCTCAAGTTCAGCGCGCTCCGTCCCGAGGACCTCAAATGTCCTCCGTCCAGCGCTCGCCTCAAAAACCGCCCGACCTCCCGAGCAACAGCAGTCCTGAACTGAGAGGTTGGAGCCCCTGGATTGGCTCGGGAGCTTCCGTCAGGGAAGGTATCCTCCAAGTCCAAGGCCAGACCAAGATCCACTCCGCCTGACCCTGGCCGGCCAAGGGGAGTGCTGGGCACAACAGGAACTTGCGACGATGCCTGGGAGAGCTGACCTCCTCCTGAACCAGGCAAAGCCGGGACGACAGAACCCCTGGAGAGATACCCTCCACCTGATCCGGGGAAGGGCGACGGGGGAGCCTGCTGCGAGGCTCCAGGCAAGGGTCAACGAACCCCTCCTGCTCGAGGGCAGCAATCCTGGCTTCCAGCTGCTCCAGCAAATCCTGGGCCGCACTCAATTCTCGCCTAAGAGACTGCAGCTCCAGGCTCCTGGCACTCATTCCAGGACCCTATAGAGCTCAGCCGGTTGCACACGAACAGCCCGACGCACTGACCGGATGAAGAGAAGTCGGAGGAGAAGGGCCAAATCCAGGATGGGCCAGAGGAAAAAACCAGAGGCCAAGCCCAAGAGGAATGAGGTCAAATGAAGCTGGGCGCCTTCGGCGGGCGAGGGAAGAAAGTCCAAGCCGGGGAGAGGCACGAGCTCGGGCTCCGGAGGAACCAGAACAGACCCTGAAGTCCCCGAACTCGAAAGGAGAAAATCCCGAGCCAGAGTAAGAGCCAGACCCGCCAAACCGCCTGAAGCTCCCGAAGCGACCAAGGCAGGGGGCCTCATACAACCCTACCGCCTCAGCAAAAAGCTGCATGTCAAAGGTGAACATGTTGTTCATCCAGCTGTGTCCATCTGCCTTGGGCGACGGGCAACGGCAGGCGCAACCGCGGGCGCAAAGCAATGAGCATACGGTCTGGCAGCATCGTTGTCCCGGCCTTGCTGGGGACAGTGCCGCGCCGTGCGGCAGCGCGCGGCACAGACTGCGAACGCAGCAGCGCCTGGGCAGGCGGAGCGAAGGCCGGAAGCAACTCAGTCCTGGCGCCGCTCGCCAGGCTCGCCGGGCAGGTCGCTTTGGGCCGGTCGCAGGCCTTAGGGGCTATCCAACCCGTCATCCAACCCCTCATCCATTCACAAGCCTCCGTCGCCTTGGTGCCCTTGGCTTCTGTTCGACGGGCTATCCAACCCCTCATCTGTTGCTTTTTGTTTTGCAGTTCTAGGGGCTATCCATCCAACCCCTCATCCATTCACAAGCCTCCGTCGCCTTGGTGCCCTTGGCTTGTGTTCTACGGGCTATCCAACCCCTCATCCATTCATCAACCCGGGTTCCTGTGTGGTAAGCCTCGACCAGGGCACGACGGACTCCCAGAGGTGGTTGAGCTGGGCTGACCTGACTGAGTCAGGTGTCCAGCTCCACCACCCCTGGGAGTCAGTCGTGCCCTGCTCGAGGCCCGATAAAACTGGAACGATACAGAGTTCAAAATTCCTTTTTTTCAGCATTTCAAGGTTTCACACAAGCCGTTCATCCACAGCATCCATGGGGTCCTTTCTCCATCATAGTGACTCCAAAGCAGGCGGGGTTTTTGTCTTTTTCTATCCATTGTTTTTGACCTTAGTTCCTGGGCTGTCCAACCCTTCTATATTCTTAGGCACGGGCTAAACCTCAAACCCTAAATCCCTAAACCTATATAGCTAAACCCTAATCCCTAGACCCCAAACCCCAATATTTTTCGTGTGATTGCTGCTGGCCAGTGTCAACCTGCAGGCATGCCCGTTCATCCAGCCGCTTGTTTTTTTTTTTTTGGTTGTTGTTCTTGTTGTTCTTGTTGTTGTTGTTGATGATGTTGTTACATTGCTGTTAGCCTTAATTGCACCAATGCCATGCATGTCTTTCGCTTGCTGAGAAAAACTTTGTTTGTGTACAACTATCCCCACCTGCTCACCTCTCCACAAGACCAAACAACAGAAGATCGAATGAGCTTGAATTGAAAAGCCTTTGCAAATGGTTTTCTTCATTGTTCTTGTTGTTGTTGTTGTTGTTGGTGTTGTTGTTGTTGTTGCTGTCGTTGTTGTTTTTTTCTTGTTAGCGACTCTAAACCCCACCTCCTCACCTCCCCACAAGACCAAGCAACGGAAGATCGCATGAGCTTGAATTGAAAACCCTGTGCAGAAGCTTTTCTTTACGGTTTTCTTTGTTGTTTTGTTGATAGCGACCCTAAACACCACCTCCTCACCTCCCCACAAGACCAAGCAACAGAAGATCCCATGA